AGTTCAGAGATGAGTCCAAATTTAAACCTCAGATCTGAATACTCCTGCTTCAGGATCTTTATGGATTGCTCTGTATACAGTATATCCCACGTCTATATTTTTCATCAGTACTCAGGAAGCCTTCGTAAGCTTTGTAAGCACAGTATTCAGTGCAGCACAGTGTCTTAGGGTAAATAAGCATTATATCCATTTTACTGATTGGTAAATGAAGACACAGAGTAGTTAATTGACTTTCCCAGGCCAGGCAGAGTCTCTTTGAAGGAATAGTTCCATCCCTTTTTTCCAAGATGAAATCATAGTCCCAAGTCTACAAGAGCAGTAGTCTTCACTTTCAGCGATGTGATGCTCATTGTGCACAGTATGTATTGTATGGTGCTGCCACTTTTAAACGTGGCAGACTCATAGTCCCCAGAGACCTTGTTACAGCCAATTCATACACTAGCACACAGAGAATTTGCCTGCCATCTTTAATAGTCTCCCATGAAAGGAGGATTTGCAGACAAGTGCTTTAGAGGCACTGAGTCTGATTTGCCACTTGTTACTCTGATTTCAAACAAGTCTTGACTCCACTGATTTCAATGGAAAAGATTCAGATAAGAGAAGGAATGTCTCCTTCATAAAGAAAATGCTAAGTCAGAGCAGTTACTGCTTTAAAACAGAAGTAACACAATGATGAATCAGGATTGTTTTTATTTAAGTTAATGCTGACAGTGTCTCACAGTATTTTCATTCTGCTTTTCCCATGAGACCAGCCCGTTTCATCTCAGCAAATGAACCTGAGTTTGAATTTACCAAGAACTTATATGGATGGTTTGCAGTGTGAATTATAGATGCAGTATTCAGTAGTGATCAGATCTGTCTGACTCTGCTCCTGTTATTGCTAATTATGTGTATTGTAGTAATATTTAGAGGCCTGACCCATCGGGTGATCACACAGACATATATAAGCATATGCCAAGAGACAGTTCCTGTTGCAAAGAACTCATTATCTGAATGGGCACGAGGACAAAATACGGGGATGAGAAACAGAGACACAGAAATATGATGTGATTTGCCAGTGGTGTCGCAGCAGGTGAGAGGTTAAGAAAGACCCTATCCAATAGCTTGTCTGCCTGTGTCTCTTGTGCATATTATCGCAGTCACTATGTAGAATAAAATATGCCCGCCTATGTGGCAATGCACATTTTATTTCAGAGCATTGGTAATGTAAAGTTCTGTAGTTATGTTTTGGATGATGATTTCTCAGGAAAACCCTGAGAAAATGGTCTATAAAACTGATCTAATGATAAGCTCAAAAATGTTTGTCCTTGACTTAGACTCAAAACTTTGCTTTGGATACACCAAATATATCTAAAGGAGCCTACAAAACTGTTTTTAAAAGTTTGCAAAATTCACCCCTACCACTACTCACACCCCCTTTGCCGCTCTTTTGTGTGCCGCTTTAATGTACTCAATATTACAGAAATTTGAGTCTTTGCTTTATCAGTGCTGGGAGATTGTATTACCCTGTTTGGCTATACAAAAATCACACATTTCATTCTGCCTGCCATCCCAAAGGTCACTGTTAAGGGCAGGAGAGAACAAAAGTGATACTTTGTGGTCTAACATTCAGACAATTATCAAGTCATAAATCTTGGTCAGACTGTAATGAGAGTGTAAGGGATAAGAGTATTCAACACAGACTGATAGAAAAAATGATTTCAAAGTTATTCATAAGACAAAGAAGATTGTATTTAGCGCACGGCAAACCAGACATGCCTTTTCTTAAAGCATTTTTATTTTTCTATTTTCCAGTCTCTTAACTTTCTGCATTTTTACATAAGAATAGAAAAGGGTGTCCTTATGACAAAACACTTATAGCACAGACTTAAGCAGTAATGATCATAAACCAAATCATTTAAAGAACAACATCAAGTAGTGACTCACTCCTATGTATTTGATAGCTTGAAATGGGATCTGCCTTCGTAATGACATTCTTCCTCTGCAGCATGCCGACATTAGTTTGCTGCTGTACAGTTGTTCACGGTCATAGTAATATGTAGCACCAGCAGCACATGTTGCCTTTTAAGTTAAAGATCTTATTAACATTGATTAAATGAACATCCCCTAAAACACGGTTAGTGTAAAAATCCATTTCAGCAGATTGGGAAACTGAGGCACAGGGAGAGTAAGGGACTTGCTCAGGAGCCTGCTGCACTAGGTTAGATCCAGACTTTGAAACGGTTCATTTTCCACTCCTTTTTCAGCTGAAGTCTCATAGGGAATTGCAGTCTGTAGATGGGGAGCACCCTGCAAGAGTTCTATCTTATTAGGCCAGGCTTTCAAAATGTTGGCTCCCTCAAACCTGGACTCAAACCTGATTTGACCTTGAACCACAGCCTCTCACCTAAAATGTGGCTGCATCCAGATCCAGGCACCATTCTCTTCTTCCATCTTCCATTGCTATGTTAGCATTAAAAGTGGTGCTTGCTTTTTGGCAAATCTATAACTTAACTTCTTAATTTCTCGTGTGCTGTTCTCACGTTCTTCCTCAAGTAAACACCAGGGCCAAACTCTGCTCTTAATTAACTTCTTTAACTTCTTCTTCTAAGATCTTTGTGCCGCTGCTTTTTGTCCCAGGGCATACCCCTGCACGCACAGCCCAGCTGTGGCAAATTGACCTGGATGGGGTAGGGGAAGCTGGGGCCAGCATCTGGACGCACCCCTTGAGGCCAAGGGATTGTGAAGATGCAACTGATGGCAGAATCTGATTTTTAGGATACCTGTCTTTCCCTGTAGATCAGCTTGTCACCGTTCTTAATTATCTAATTTGTTTTGTTTTGGTTTTTTATTACTGTTATTATTCTCAGTTTGCAGGTGGTAAAGGCTTTTTTTGACTAGGTAAGAATGTGGCTGAATTAAAAGCACTGAGCCATGAAAGAAAAATTTCAGAAATCCTTTCATCACAAAATGTCTCCATCCTTCTTAAAGTATCCTGCTCAAATCTACTTCCATCAGACTTTTCCTGTTGCCACCTTGAAAAGGGCAGCATCTCGCACTTGTTCTAATAAGAGCCTACAAGCTCCGGAGTAATTCCTTGAGTGAAGGTTTTATCTGTTGAACTGCTTTTCAGCGTGTCCTCCCCAAACATTCCTCCAGTAATCCATGTACCAAAGCTGAACCAAATGGATGTTTATGTAAAACAGCTCATGCTATGTGCAGCCTGTGCTTTTTGTGTGACCTTTAGTGTAAAATGCAATATGTCTGGTCTCAGTTATGTTATTCTGTCAACATGTTCCAGTTTGGGCTAAGCTGGAAGCAGCGCTCTGTACATCTGGCTCAGGAAAAGAGGACATCTGTGCAACTAGTCCAGTACACCAGAGCAATTCAATGGAATATTGTTCTAGTGCTCAGGAATGACAAGTATTTTACATTGCAAAATACAGCAAATATTGACTTTTACCAATAAGAGTTACCTCCAGAAATAAAGGGGGAAAAACAGCATGGTCGTAGTCTGAGATAAAGTCCAGTGATCCTCTTGTCTCATGAATATTACTTTAAACACACACATTGTCTAAAGCAATTTACTTACTATAATATGCTCCTTTAAAAAGGAGGTTTTCAGGAATATGGTAGAGATGTCCAATCCTAGAAATCTGGAATATGATGCTATTTAGAAAGCTCCGGATCCAGAACCATTTTGTTTTCTGGTTTAGACTCTGTGTCAAAAAGACCCCAAGTTTGTGAAATGACCCAGCTTCTGTATCACAGACTCATAGGGAAGTATGGCTGGAAGTGACCTTCAGAGATCTTCTAGTCCAACCCTCTGCCTACAGCAGGATCATCCCTATACAAACCATCCTGTTGTCTAAACTCTTTGCAAAACTACACAGTCAAACCTGGTGCAGTTGGTCAAAAAAACTTCACATTTTGGAATTTTGCAGTGAAAAGAGACATTCTTGGCAAAAAAAAAAAAAAAAACACACCAAAAATGTCTTTAATTTTTTCACCAGCTCTATTTCTGATCTGACCATTGAGGAAAATGCCCCTTCACTTCCTGGCTGCTTGCTGACCCTCCCTCCCTCCCTCCCTGGTGTTCAAAGTTGTTGTTCCAGTTCTTATTTCCCTCTCATAGGTTTCCTCAGCCGGCACGGTTTCAGTTGAGTGAAAACAGGGGTGCTCAACCCTCAGCCTATGAGCCACATCCAGGCCACAGAGCTATGCCATCTGGCCTTCAGGGCTCCCCACGTGTGGAGGTAGTGGCAACATTAATTGCTGCTCTCCAGAGGCCAAATTTCCAGACCAATGGGGAGCCCTGCAGGCCAGATAGCATGTCCCTGTGCACTATATCAGGCATGAGGGTCTGAGACAACATAAGGCAAAATCCTGCTGCACAGGGTTTGATCTGGTCTACAGGGTCCAATCTGGGTGGCATGAGGCAGGATCTGGACATGCAAGGTGCAATTCAAGTACCCTAAGGTAGGATCCAGATGCTCCAGGCCTGATCTGGATGTCATGAAGCAGGTTTAAGACACATGAGCCCGATTTGGGTGGTGTGATGTGGGATACAGGCATGCAGTGCTGGGCCTAGTCCGGGTGTTTACCACACAACCAACCCCACAACTCATCCAGCCAGCAGGGCCAAAAGTTTGAAAACCAATGACTTAGGTTTCCAAAAAAGCAGTGATAGCCCTTTAGTAATGACACTGCGAAAGGCATGTCTTGGCAGGGGAGCAGAAGGGAGGTGTCACCCACAAAACCCAAAGGGATGTCTCAAATCCTGTTGGGGGATCTACAGGAAGAATTGTGCCCTGGATAACATCTTCTCTTACTATTTCACCCAGTAGGGCAAGAGACTTTATGGAGCTCTCATTGTTCATGCTTTTCTGGCAAGCCCCTAAGGAACAAATATCAGTTCAAGGGATCTTGGCCTGCACCTTCTGGTGAGCAAAGCTGGCTGTTGACTTCTCTTCAGCCCTGCCAGCAGGGATGGGAGCTACACACAAAAGCAATTCATGGGAGCTACACACAAAAGCAATTCATAGGCAAGTTTCCCAGGCAGTGAAGTTTCTGCATCAGACTGAATCGCTTTAAGACAAAGCTCAAGAGGGGAGAGGTGGGAACTCCTGAATATGCACTCGAAAAAGAGACCACTTGAAGGAAACTGAGGCAGCTGCTGCTCAAACTGTGCAGTGAAGAGACTCCAAGGATGGAAGCATTTAGTGGGGTGGACGGATTTGGAGGTGAGAGGGGGAGAAAGGGGATGGATTTCAAGGGGCGACGCATCTTTTGTGCCTTTGGCTTCCTCTTCTAACGGGCCTCATCTTGGATGGGTAAAATAGGAAGGGGCAGGCTTTGGGAGGAATGCACTTCAGAGTTGTGGAGTGGGGACCACTTTGCCTGAGTGCCCTTCAACAAAGAGTAAGCAGCATGTGGACAGCATGTGGGACTCAAAGGGCCAGTGTCGTTCTGCCTAATAACCTGCGTACGTCCATTTATCTCTGTTAGACTGCATATGGTGCAAATCAGAGAAGAATTTGGCCCGTAGTGAATGTCAAGTCCTAAAAGCAACTTTACAAAAAATGTTGTTTCTGATTTAAACTAGAAAGAAGACTGGCACTGCACCCTGAACAGAGCATGCGAGCATCCTCTTAGGGCACGTCGTGAAAATACTACTCACTTATTTGACAATCTCTGCAGGGCTTCCTCCTAGTACGGGGAAGAATCCTCTTTTGGATACCAGAGTCTTTTAGCCTTGTTAGTACCCGCCTAAGAGCAATATTCTTTTTGAAATGTATCATTTGTTGTATCCTTTGGGGTTTTTTTTTTTTCAATCTGTATTAGGAAAGTGATTATAAAGCTCTTGGAAGTTCATTCCAGGCACCTGAGTTACAGTTCACACATGCTGCATTCTTCAGTTGCCTTAAAGAAAACAGGGATGTCATACTCCTCAGTATTTCCAAGTGTCCAAATACATATCTCTAACAGCAGAAAGGGTCAACTAGTAGCAAGGAAACCTTATGGTTGCATCTATAGCATAGCATAGAGAACTGGCGTGTTTATGTCATAGTTCCAATGTACGTCAAACCAGACCAGTGCGGCAGTATAGCAGCAGCGTGGGCCAGTGGACATGGCAGTGGACTGTGAATGAGGTGACCTGGATTCTGTTTCTGATGTGCCTTTCATCTGCTGGGGAGCCATGGGGCATCACTTCACATCTCTGCCCTTCTTTTTCCTGTTCCAGCCTTTGTCTTGCTTGGTCAAGGATTATCTGTAAGCATGCATAGATATTCATAATCAGTTAGAGATTAACTTGGAAGTTTAAAAGCAAAGTATGTGTGCATGTGTTTATACAAAATAAGCTCCAAAGTGGGCAAATGTTGAGGGCAAAAGGAACAAATTTGTTTTTGGATTGTAAGCTTTTTTTTTTCTTAGCTAAAAGAATACAAACAGCAACACGCTTGCAGCAAATACTAGCATATTTTTCATGCTAAAATATATTGAGTTTATTCAATATTTGTTTTAATAAGAAGCCTGAGGACTTGAACTGAACTTTAGTTCGTTTTGTTTGCATTATAAGCCTACAAACCAACTCGCAGAATTAGCGAGGCGTCCAAACTCCACTAACCCCCCGCAGACTCTGAGGGAGTGGACATTTAGGGCCAGCCTCCTCAGCACAGGATCCATTTCTACCAACCCCCCAAATCCTTGACAAAATGAAATACCCGCTTAGCTTGGAAACCTGCACGGATACATTTCTTCCTTCTGTCGTTACAAGTAGGTCTGTTCGAAACGTATCTAGAAAGTAGAGGCCCTTCTTGCAGGATCTTTCATTGCAAATGATTTGTGCTCTGAGGGCTGATCACACTGAGCGTGGGAGAGTCGTCTGCCAGGTATTAAATAGAGACTTTTACAGCCATGGAGTTGCAGCTCCGAGGCCCGAGCTTACCAAAATGTCAGCGAGTCATTCTGATTTAGGCAGAGCTCTTCTGATGACAGGAAAAATCGCATGAAAAGATGGTGAGATTGCTGAACAATATCCCCACACTGAGCTTGCGCTTCTGAGCTAAGGTCTGTGAAAACACCGAAGTACGTTCAGGTTTGAGACTGGGGGTGTTTCTTACAGCATCCTGAGGGACTGATCCTGCTACTTTTACAAGGGATTTGAACTGTGGGTCCCTGATTTTCAGTATAGGTCTTACCTGTCTGTCAAAAAGAATCACTTCTAATGAGCTATTTAATTAACATGCCCTATTTTGTTTCATTCTTCCCTTAAACAGCTCAAATTCCTTAAAGTTGCTCAAAATAATCGCACTTTAGCATCATCTACTGGGAGAGACGGGCAACTGACAGTACTGGAGCACAACGGTGGAAACACCCCGCTCGGTGCCTATCCTGCTGCGGCGTTGTGTGTGTGACTTGAGCAATGCAGGGGAACAGGCAGTTTTCTCCTCTGTCGGCACAGCTGCAAAAGACACTCCTCTCCTGGCACAATAGCTACTGGGAGCTTGGTGTGGATTAAAGCTAGGTTGCTTATTCAGTAGGGTCTTGGAGTCATAGAAGCACTAGGAAACAATGAAGCAGGAGTAGAGAAACAGCTGATCAGTGGACAGGCTTAAGCAATTAATTTTTTGTAAATAATTTCAAGTTTCCACTTTATGTTTGGCACTGTAAACTGTTGGGGTCAACAGAAACCATTCGGTCTGGTACATGCTCAGTGTAACTGTAAGCTGTCAGTTCATGTTAAGATTTCACTTTTCACTAACGGCAGCCCCCATCCAGAGATATCAAAGGTAGACTGGGGATAATACTGAAAATACTCCCTATATTATTTCAGTATTATCTCCTTTTTACAGTTAGGAAAACTGAGCTGTAAGGAGGGTCAGAGCACAATTTTAAAGTTATTTAGCTGTTTTACTCCAGTTGACTTAAAGGTCGGTGAATCAGTTGAAATTAGTTTGAGTTGGCACCTAAATAACTTTAATATCGTGTCCTAAGTGAATTGCTCATGGTTCCCATAACAAATATGTTACGGACATGTGAACAGAACGTGGGCCTTGTGATCCCCATTCTTCCCTGGCCACCAGACCAGGCTTCCCCTCACTAAATCTAGTGTAAGTTCATGAAGTCAATCATAACACGTTTAATATAGGTCATATTTTACATACACCTTACGTAACATTTTAGCTGCAGATCCTTTTTCACCTGTGAGGTATCTAAGTACTACTTAGATACCTAAGCACAATCCTATTCTATCCCTGTTCAAGTCCCTGGAAAACTGCTAACGCATCTACTTCTGTAAAGCACCTTCATGCCTTTTGCAATTGAAGTCACAAAAAGCAACAAGCATGGCACACCTCCCTTTTGCATTCACATTTTTTAGGGAGACAACAAGGTGGAATATGATTCCACTTAGATGTCTGACAGGTAGTATAGATTGTAGTGCCATAGTGTGTTATGTACAGCTCTGAGAGCCATGTAGTGAATACACATTTGTTTCAAGAATAACTTTAAATGTTCCTGAAGTGATTTACTTTGTAAAGAGGTCTGCATATTGCCAGGAGAACATTTAACTTACCGGTTCATCTGTTGTCCACTCAGATGCAGTCAGACCTCCTCCAGTATGAAGTTGGCCCTCTATTACTGACAGCTAATTGAGATCCTCCTTTACCTCAAGTGCCAGGAAAAGCTGGGATTTGCCTGACTCTAACTACATGTCCAGTGGATGTGCAATGCAGGGAGATCATGAGATCTTGGCCCCCACAAACTTGTTACAATTTTCTCTGCAAAACAGAGAAAGCCGCATGATAGTGCTGTGTTTGTTTACACTACTTTAAAAACTGTTTTCTAATTGCTTCTTCCATATGCATTTTAATACTCTGGCCCATTAGACCTTCATGAGCAAAAAGCAAGTAGGCTCATAAGTCTACATGTAGATGCTAAAATATACGGCCAGATTTTTCAGAAATTCCCCAGTGCACATCCAAGCATTTTTTAAAATTTGATGGAAATTAAAGAATATTTTTTTAAATGTTAGGGTATTTCTGGGGTAAGCTGATAGCGATGATGAAAAAGAACTAAATTGTATGTGATTATTGATACCCCTTATCTTTTTAAAATTGTACTTTTAGTAAAATAGTCTATCATTTAAACCTTCAAAACTGTGATACACTGGACACATCCACACGTGCAGTTAGTGCACATGAATACACTCTGGAGCTTATTGCTCTGGAGTTTTTTTGCTCCCAGGTGCACTGTTTGAGCATGCACCTGGGAGCAAAAAGCTCCAGAGCAATCAGCACCAGAGCTTATTCAGGCACAACACGTGGAGCCTAGTCGGATCAGCCGTGGCTGGCAGCAGGCTCCAGGGAATCAGCATGCCAGCTGCGGAGGGGCTGGCTGGGGCACGAGGATGCTTCATTGCAGGGCTAGCTAGCAGGCAGCCCACACACTGAAGCACCCTCATGCCCCAGCCAGCTGAGTCAGTGTCTACATGTGCACTTCTGCACACAAAAATACTCGGCAGCAGGGTAGTACTTCTATTTGCAAGTACTACCCTGCTGTAGAGTTTATTAGTTTCCTGCAACCTAATAGAGGTACACATGTACACACCGAGACATTTACTGTGGCGCTAATTAGTCAGCTCCACAGTAAACATCTCGTGCAGATTTGCCCACTCAGTATTTTTTACTCACTTCTCTTAAAACAACAGCTGGATCTTATTTGTTTTCCTGTTTAGATTCCTCTCTCTGTATATCTTTACTTCTGATACAGCACTTTACAAGTCAGGTGACAATCACAATGACTCATGTGGTGCATGTGAAAGAGAAAGTACTCAGAGCACATGCTTTGAAACGCAGCCTGCCCATTTCCTTATCATTGTGGCAACTGGATGTTTTGCACGCAAAGATACAACCACCTTGTGAAAGCGGTGCAGCTTGTCTCACACATAAGATAGTAAGGTCCAGCTGGTAAAAAAACAAAACGCTGGGGTGTATAGTTGCAGAGCTCCATTCTTGGACTTTCTTTACCTCCCACACCCTGATCCAATCTTATGCATCTGGCCATGGCTCTTGATTTTGTATGAAACAGGGCCTTCAGTAATGATGCCTGGAAACTCCAGGCCTTAAGCAATAAAAGAGTTGCCAGGAATTCCAGCTGTGAACATCTGCTGGTTCTTTTTGGTGAGCAGAAGGGAGTATCCCTGTCCATCTTTCGATTTTGTGAAAAGCAGGGGGGGGCTCAATTCATTACAAACATTCTGCACCTGCATTTTCAAACTCTCCCTCTTTTTCTCTTTTTAAGAAACTAAATTAATAGTTTGAGAAAATCTCAAACACTGGGTTAATTTTTGGAGGAATTAAAGATTACAGCCAGCTGCATTCTGACTCATGTTGAGTGACACAGAATGATCATCTCACAACTCTTTGATGGCATATGTGAAATAAGATGGTTGGGTTTGCCCTGTAATAGTATGCACCATACAAAACCCATCACATTTGTTAGATGCAGCCACTTTAAGATTATGTTACAACAAGCAGCAAGGAACAGGAGGATCCACACATCTTTTGCATTAGTTTTTGTAGGGACTTGAGCAGAGTGGAATAGCATCACAATTATTAGGGACCTAAATCCACCTGGGTGTCTCCCAACTGGAACAGAATCTGGCCCCACATGACAAGAAGATTCTGCAGCTATTGAAACTGAGATACATTTTTCATCTCACTTTAAAAGGGATTGGTTTGAGTTCATGAAGACAGTCAGTGAGATTAAATTCCAAAAGAAAAGATGCACCAATTGAAATTCAATTCAATTTTGAATTGAATCTTTGAATTTGAAATTTCAATTGCCTTGAAATTGCCTTGCACTTCGCTTCCATGCACTTTACCCATGGAGCTGAGAGGTAAAGTGTTATTTTGGATGGCAGATGGAAGAGATTGCAATGGTCTGAATCCTAAAGATGTGGGTACAAATGATTCATCAGCTGAAGACCAAGGCTATCTTGCTCTTTATACTATCTGTGAGTCTAGGATTGGAGAGAATCCTAGTAGGGATCACTTTGACCACAGGTGGCAAAGAAATTATCCCCTTTGACTATAGAAAGGCAAGTGCTCGCCACTACTAACCTATCATAAGACTCTAGATTGAGTCTAAACAAAATGGGTTTCTGCGGACCCCTTACTTTGACAGTCCTGGGAAAAAGAAAAGTTGAGAGGGACTTACACCAACAAATTGATTGAATGATATGTTATAGATTTCCTTGTGGCTTCATATATGCTTTAAAAATATGAGTGAATGAACCAAATCCTTGCAGCTTTGGGGGCAGAAAAGTGTTTGTCCAGTAATAACTTTTGTGATCTTTCTAAAAGGAAGAAATGGGACTACTTATTCAAGTCTAAAACTAGGTTGAATTGAATTCCAGAACTTAAAAGGAAGTCACATGCTGCCAGAATTGTACATTGCTTTAGGGGCTAGTCGGTAATAGTACGGTCATTACCAGGGATCCAGATTTTCTCTAATTTAAAACAATCCCCAATTTTCAGTTTAAAAAGTAACCCCAAATCCACATGTTTCCATGATTAAAATGAAACATCCTCTCTCTATATATATGTCTATATATTAGTGATGTTCCATTTAAATCATGATAAAATGTGGATTTGGAGTTACTTTTTTTTAGGCAAGTTTCAACATTACTTAGGATAATTCATAAAAAGTTAGCTAACTCCCACTGAAGTCAATAGAAATATTACCATTGACTCTACCATGGGTAGATATGGAATTTTGAAAATGGGGGTGCAGATGATGAGGTGCGTTGTCACATATAAAACAGCACAGATTTGTTTCCAGTTAAAAATAAACTAGAAGCTTTACTAATATGTTTGGATGCTAGGGCTGTTTAAAATTGAAGCAAAAACAAATATAACTTCATTGGAATGAGTGACAAATAATCTGCTGTGCTGTGAAATAGGAACTTTCTTACCAGGAGCAGCTGACAGATAGCAAATTGCAGAATAAAGGATAGCTTGATAAAGTGGAACATCACGAGCATTAAAAAGGAGAGGATTGTTAACACCTATGGAATAAAGAGTTTAGAAGGGATCAGGTGGATTATTGTAAGTCATAAAGTCAGGTGACTCCTTCAGCACTGCCAGACTAGAAATGCTGCTACCATTGCCAGACAGTTGGTTTTAAACTTGGGGTGGACCAGGAATCAAAGTGGGGTGCAAGTATACCAGTGTATGTCCCCCCTCCCAGATCCACCTCTGAACTGCACTGTTCGTTGGATCAGGTCATCAACCACTGCAAGAGGAGGGAAGGGCTAGCGTCATGTTCCATCCACATATCTTTCTCCATTGGAGCAATCTGTGGTTTTCCTTGGATTCAGTCTGAGTTTGCTACTCATTCCTCAGAGAGGCAAGACCAGAGGGAGGCCCCTTGGGCTCCCTCTCCCTGGGCACCATGCAAAGTCAGGGCATAATTTGCCATTCTCTGGAATGATTTAAAGAGCTGTTGATTTACAAGTTAATTGTATTGTATTTTTTTTCAATTAATAGTGAACGTATTA